TCCCAGTGGCCAAAGCGCACGTACTAAGGTTAATCTAGGTCTGGCCAGACATGCAACTGAGTACTTTACTTAAGGTTTCAGTAAGGATGGTACTACTGACTTTGGGACAAAGGCAAGATGGATAATGGAAGCAAGATTATGGATATAGAATGTACCATAATCAAGGTGGGAGCCAAACTTGAAGGTGCTTTATACGTTCAAGCTGAGGATCTGATTGTTGCTAGACTGTCCTACAGAAAACTTTGATTTGTGTAGGCTGATGTGAAGTTACTGTAACTCTTTCTTCTGCCCTTTGTTCATCTTCCTCCCCATTCTGCTTTTCTTTCTATTTTGTGTTCCAGCAACTTTACCTGTCCACATGGATGCAGCAGATTCAGCCCTGCCGGCAACACAGTCCCAGAGGTCCCAGAGTTCTGACTGGACGGGTAGGACCCAGGCAGCTGAGAGAACCACTGCCATGGCCTCTGCTAACTTTTTTAAAACGCCGCAAGAGAAGAGCCCTGGATACAGTTAGATGAAGGCATCTCTCCTCATAAGAGCCTGTTTGAACTCTGAAATGTTGTACTTTGACATATGTCAACATCCAAACATCTTGTTTGGCAATAACCATGTCTTCAGTGTTGGTGTGTGATACGCATTGTCATTCAGACTGAGCTGCGTGCCCCACATCCCCAAAACACGTTTGTGAATCAGTGTAAAAAGTAACTGTTGATGTTGGGACTGTGGCAGCTTTTTAAAATGTTCCTGCTATTGCTGTGAGTATTTATTACGCACTCATCTCCCATCCAGCATCTATTAGCATCTGCTGGGGTATGTACAGAACCTTTTGGTTTCACAGATGTTGAACTTTCTTGTGCAGCTGGTTACTCCTGGGGGCATATTATTTGTTGCTGTATTCAGCATTTTTCAAGAGAATCCCACTTCAGGTCTGGGGAGGTAAAACTGTCTCCGGCAAGGACAGAAATAAAGGCCAGCAAGGATCCATGGTCAGAGGGGAAGAGGAGGGAGACAGAGAATGCAAACCAGGTTTGAAGTGTGCAGCTTGAATTCTGGATTAATAAAATGTCCAGAAGCCTCTTGCTAATGGACTTGAGTTAGGATGGCTCTAGTGAAGCAGATGTATGGTTATCCATTCAGAAGTCCTCTTGGCTTACAAGCAGCATGGCTTTTCAGAGCTGTTACTCTCCCATGTGTGGAGTGTGTTTAGTCTTGCCTCAGTATTGTATATTCTTCCTCATATCTCCTGCTGGACAAGAGATTGGCAGAACTCATTAGACATAAATGAGCAGGCTAGTGTTATGAGCGGGATCAAGTGGCTGTAAAATGTCCTGTAAGAAATGCGTCCATGGGAAGTGACAGAGGAAATGCTAGTCTACCTTTAGTGGATGCTCATTTTCAGAAGCTGCTGCAAGCATCCCCCAGGACACTTGAAGTCAAAGTCCAGGTGCCATTGTACTTACTGAAAGCCATTTAAAGTATTGGTTGAGTTCAAAACACTCTCTCTGTAGAGACTGGACCATTTCTTGTGTCTCATTCTTCCTACTTTCTTCAGAAAGTACTGTTTTGCAGTGCATATTGGGAGGGTCTCTCTGTCTGTACTTGATTGTAGTCCATTCTGCAATATATATAGGAGGAGGGTTCCCTCTATCTCTGATAGTATTTCACTTTGCAGTATTTATAGGAGGGATCCTCTTCTTCCCACATCTCTTTCCCTTTATCCCTAACTGCCCTCTGCCTTCCAGTGTAGATGGGGGATTTTTCCCTCTTTCTCATTTCCTATATCTCTGAGCACGCTCGGCTTGTTTCTGCATCTTTTGAATGACCTGTCTGCAGCTTCACTTTGCTTTATTTGATAATATGCCTGTATAGCATATACAAAGGGGCTATTACAGGCTCGCTTGACAGCCCAAGTAGTTCTGTAGGCTCTTGAACATTTTCACATTGGTGGCACTTGTCAGGATGCACCCTTCTACTTGTTGGGTGGGTGGAGCTTCAGACAGGACCCTCTATTTAAGTATGTAAATAAGCTTTAAATGTAAGGGTACAGGGAGCACTTGTATGTGTAGATTATGGATTTGCATGTTTCACTTGCTTTGCAGTACTCTGCTCTCAGTATCCTATAAATCAGTTCACTGAGGGGTAGGTTTGATTGTGAACCTATAAGACAATGTTTTAATCACTTTTAATTTTTTTGTGGGGGGGATTAAAATGTTAAATGGCCAACTCTAAAACCACATAAATCTCCATATTTTACATAACACAAAAATAAATTATAGAGTCAAACAACAATCTAAATCACTGACAAAATCAATTATATTACAGAGGCATTGTCTAGATTTGCTCCATAGATGCCTGGTTATTCTTGAGGGGAGGCCCAAATTGGATTTGTATTTTGCAGTCCAAGCAAGCTGTCAGTTTTGTCCATATACAAATCTTTCTCAAAATGTCATAGCTTTTTCTGATGCATATTGCAAATGAATTAGGACAGGGAAAGCCTTTTTCCCCTGCTAAAGGAGTACAGAGGTGAAAGATTAGTTTGGATTATCTATGAGAGAACTGAAGGGCTTTGCGGGGAGAGAAATACTCATGTTTTAAGTTAGCGTTTTTACATAGCTTCATTTTGCATCAGTACCAGCCTTATTTGTGATTCTTAACAAATGATAAGTTCCTAGGAAAATAGGGCTAGAAGGGACCTAATGAGGTCATTTAGCTCGGTTCCCTGCTCAAGGCAGGAGCATTGCTGACTCAACGATCTCAGCCAAGTGTCTGTCCAACCTACCCTTGAAAATTTCCAAGGATGGTGATTTCACAACTTTAAGTATCCTGTTCTGGTGCCTGAACATCCTCATAGTCAAATGTCCTTGAAATCTCCAACCTAAATTTTTCTGTACTGCAGCTTCAGTCCTTAAAGTTCAGCCAGTTCTGCTAGACTCTTTTTCCCCTCAGACTTGCCTCCCAGGGGATCCTGCCCACCAATTCCCTGAGTTTGTTGAAGTCTGCTTTATTGAAGACCAGGGTCTGTCTTCTGCTGTTCTCCTTCCTTCCCCCTTTTAGGATCATTTCATGTTCACTGTCATCCAAGTTGCATTCCGCCTTAACTTTCTCAACCAATTCCTCCTTGTTTGTGACCAGTAACTCCAGAATAGTTTCCCCCTCTATCTGGCTTCTCTACCGTCTACCTTTCTACTACCTGTATCGAAAAGGTATCTCCAGTAAACTCCAGGAATTGATGATAACTCTTTATTAATAATAAAGCCTTTTATTGTTTGGGAGCAAAATAGGCTTCTAACTTGATTCTTAGTCTTGGAAGCCATTATTATAGTAGAAAGGTCCATAAGAAATTGTGTTTGCTTAATACAAAGGGGAGCAGAGCTAGGGGCTTTATATTGAAGAGTGAGGCAGGTGTGATCATTGGGAATCTGACAGATAAGACACACAGCTGCCTCTCTGTTAGTAATGCAGTGACAGGTTGCAGGTGCACTGGAATAGGTGGAGTTGTCACATGGTACCATATTTCAGTCATGGTGCCTACATAATTTTTTAAAGGTTTGTTTCCATGAATGTGTGCATGCATACTTTTTAGAACAAGCTGAAAGTGTGTCCATGGCTGCCTCCTGAAGTAAAGTGAGATCAGTGATTTTGGTACTATTTGGCTATCTTCTTGGGCCTTCATCATAGTGATGAACACCTTTAGAGCAACCCAGGGTGGCTGATCTGCCTAAAAGCTCACTCTGGGGAAAGAATGGCCGAATTTGGATTATTTAGTGTAGAAAAGATAAAACTGAGGAAAGACTTGATGACGGTCTTCTTCAAATACAAAAAGAGCTGTTTAAAAAGGAGATAGACATAATGGATAATTAGTTTCTTCAGGGGACAGGACAAGGAGTAATATATTTAAATTGCAACAAGGGAGATTTAGGTTGGATATTAGGAAGAAGTTTCTCACTATGAGGGTAGCTAAACACTGGAGTGGATTACCTAGACGGAGATGTATTCTCTCTGGAATTCTCTTATGTGCCGGCTATACGGACATGTTCCTGGCTGAGATGGATGAATCCTGTTGTGTGCTTGGAGGGCTGGACTAGATAACCTTTTAAGGTCCCTTCCAGTCCTACTTTTCTTTGGTTCCTAAAAACAGGAAAATGCTTAGAAACAGTTTATTTCAGGAATGTGTATTCATAAAAGGCATCATCTAGTTGAGGCTTAGCAGTGGTGCATAGGATGTCTATTTGTTAGGTTACTGATTAGATTTCATCCAAGGCACTAGTAATCAAACAAATGGCCATTTTTCCAGTCTTTGGTAGCTTTTATGAAGATCACTCATGATCTTGTTCTGTTCTTAATTGTCCTGCAAATACGTGTCCCTTGTTGAATGCTACCAGTATGCTTGGTTGTGTACGAAATGCACTGGGCTGACATCTCCTATCTAGTAGAGTTTACAGTTTAAACTAGAAAAAGACTGTATATTAAAACAAAAACATACAATTTCCATTGGTAGTAATTACTACTAGGATTAACAGCCTCAGAGGATTCAAAAGATTGATTGAGGGGTGGGGAATGGGTTGTACACTGGGAATAACATTACTGACTGGCCTTCACCCGGTGTATATGAAAACGGATCTAGATCCTCTGTGTTATTTTTCCAAGTAGAGTTTAATTTTCTTCCCATGTTTTTAACTTCTACTTGATATTTTTTTCTCTCTTTCCTTTGTACCTGAACTCCCATTTCATATCTCATGGGTTATCTCTTCCCATTTCCAAACATTAATGAAGACATTAAATAAGGCTGGACGTTGCAGTCGTGCGTGTGGCTTTGCATTGAACTTCTTGCC